ACACACTGTCGCTTCAGCCACAGATATTCTTTAGAAGTGAGTCACTAAGTCCAGCACACTCAGGGGTGGGGAATTAGGCTCTAAGCTTTGAAGGGAGGAGTGTAGAAGATACTGTGGAATTTTCTAAAACCATCACATTTAGAAAAATGTCACTCAACTGAACAGAGTATTTTATTTCTAGGAATGCTTCTTTTGCCTTTTGTCAAGTGTTTTCCGTCTCTACAATCATACTTCTTTTCTTTATACATCACAGTTCATTGTAAAGAATCATTACCCTTAAACTGGATCTTCCATGAAAGAAAACGTAATGATACTGATCATAGGTCAGTGACCCCAGTGATAATTCCAGGCGTAAGTCCAGAATGAATTTCCAAAGCACGAGTCCCTTAAAAAGGAAGCTGTTACCAGTACAGAGCAGATTTCAATGTGTATAAGAAATGGAAGGAAAATATTTAATTATGTGTAAGTTTGGTTTATGAAAATGTAATTCACCCAATCTGGATCTTAACTAGATTATCCCACATGGGACCTTCTGAGGTTCTTGCGGATACGATGGAGAAATTTACCAGCTAGGTCATTTATCGGATTCATAATTTCATTAAATAAGCTTATCTGATTATCAGATGTGGGACTTTGTTCTGAGTCCTGCTCCATTCCTCATTTGTGTCATCAAATAGTTTAATGGTGTAGAGGAAACGCAGTGCAGATTCACAAATGGAATGGTACAGGAGCGCTGGAGGGGAACTTGCATTAGGACAGACGCATCATTTCAGAAAACCTAAGTGCTAGGTTGGAGCTAATCACATGATTAAGCACTGATAACTATACAATCCTGAGCTTGGGTCAAGGCAGTCAGCTACGCATGTACAGAAAGATGAGAAAAGGTTTTAAAAATTCGTAAATATTTTAATCAATGTTAAGATCAGTCTGAGCCCACACCATGATGGAACAGCCAAAGCTGCTGATGGGACCAGAACCTGCATTGGTGGAAGAGTGAGAGGGAGAATGAGGCTGTTCTAAGTCCTGCCAGTGTTGAAAGTGATCAGACCATATGTGGAATATTATATTTGTTTCAGGAAATGATCTTGTTAGGTAAAGACAGACTTAAATATGCCCAAATGAAAGAGGCAAATAGCAAAAGGATAACAATGCTACTTTAAGTTATGCCCTCCTTTTGTACACAAATCTCAGTGGATTACCTTGCTGTATTCATATTCTACACATATCATAATGGGGTAGATAGCCATACTTGTTCTGCAATCAGATCATCAGGGCTCACATCGCTCCTCTGCAACTTAATAGCAAAGTTAACTGAGTTCTTTAAGAATCAGTTCTTGCAGACACAAAGACTCAAGCTTGCCCAACATAGAACTATTGTTAAATATACATATCTTGACATAACCTGATGAAATTTGTAAAATCCTAGGGTGAAGAGAAAATACTCTAAATATCCAAAAAGTGTGAAAAAAACTAGAATGTTACTTAAAGGGAATGACTAAGCATTTCAATCGTCAAAGAGGGAGGAAGCTTCAAAATCAATGAAGAGAGATGTAGAATACAGACCAATAGTCTGTATCAAGAGAAAATGTCACTCACAAATCTTTGTTAAAGAGAGACACTAGGATCCGCAAAGATTCAAAGTTAGTAATTCACATAGCAAGTCTGTAAAAACCACTTGAAATATTTATCTAATCCTACAAAAAAGGAAATGGATCATCGAACTTAAGGAAAATGAAGATGGTAATTAATATTCTTTTGTGTGTGTGTGGTAAGTTTTTTTTAATGTGTTGCATATGTTTTCTTATAGTACAATCATATTTCATGATAAAAAATAGATACTAGTGTGGTATTAAAAGTAGTAGATTATCTCTAAACCATCCAATAAAAAGGGCAAATTTTTCTGAAAAATACTTTGTATAAACCTGTTCCAAACAACATAGCATTTAAGCATATTTGTCAAAATTATTCAATATATAAGAATGACTCATAAAATATAATTATATTATACCTCATTCAAAATATATATAAGAAATAGTGAAAAATATATCATTTTCCAATTAAAGTTAGAAATAAGCACTCAAATATTTACCTTGATCTTAACTGTTTGAATAGTAAGAATTATTTATTGCTCATGTCTCTGATTAAGTAAAGAAAGGAAAACAAGCCTTACTGTCTGGTTTAATGCGTAAGTAAGAACGTTATTTTTCTGTGTGAAGTGATCAGTGGAAATTGTCATGTTTCTCTATATTTACCACGTTATTTCCAATAAATAGAAAACTAAACTGAGTCTTCATCTAAAAATAACCTGTTTTCTTTCTACATTGACTTTTTCTGAGAATAAAACCCAGGGCTCTGATTTCTGATGAGAATGGAAAAGAAAGAAAAAGAAGACAGATGAACCACAGGATGAAACGTGTACTTTCATCATCTATTCATTAAGATGCTAATTTTATCAGCGAAGGCTAGGACATACGTACTTAAGGAGAGTTCGTTCAATAGATCTATATAGTTTTCTCCCAAGAGAGCCTACACATGAGCTTTACATCACATGACCCACAAGACATAATTTGATCTTCATTAGCAAGGACCTCCTTACATACCTCAGGCATCAGAATATTCTATAACTTCTATTTTCCCAGGAACCAGAATGCAATGAGTGTAATTATGCTAATAAGAGGATACAATTGAGATGAAATAATTAATTTCTAATTTGATTGTTTATTATGGCAAAACCTTATTTATACTTTTTTTTTTATTGCAAGTGAAACCTTGTGATTTCCCAGTAATAAAACATGGAAGCCTGCATTATCAATACAGACACTACTTTCCAGCAATGGTAGGACAGCAATTTTATTATTACTGTGATCGCTACTATGTGCCGCCTTCAGGAAATTACTGGGATTCCCTTCGTTGCACACGAGAAGGATGGTCTCCAAAAATACCATGCCTCAGTAAGTAAATACCTTTAATTTTATGTGTATCAGTCTTCCCAGATGGGAGAGACAACGGTACAGTTAAGTCTTGTGTAACAAAGACAAGGCCGGGGGACTTGTTCTGTGAGCAAAAAGGTCCAGAGAGGTCTTCCTTTTGTGAGGGGCTTTGCATGGAAACCACATGAGAAATATAGAGACTTTACAGGAATATCTGCACATTTGTACGTATTTTAATTATAAAAACTAAAGGATAAAAAACATGGAATTTTTTTCTTTTTTAACAAACATTTGACAGTAGCTTTAGCTTTTCTTGCTATATGCTATTTTTGATGTAAATAGAAC